GGAGTGTTGGCCATGACTCTTGGCGGAGAGGAAAGGTATAATACCTTTAGGCCCCTAGACTACTTTATTTCAGATCTCTCATTGTAAAAAACTGAATTATGAAAACAATCTCCCAACTGATCTTATCAGCTCAATCATTTCTTCATACAGCAACTAGCAGACTAAAATGCCATCTAGTTATGTCACTCCTTAAATGGTTCTCTTCATATTTAGGCTAAAGTCTAAGATCCTTATCATAACACACAAAGTCTTTGTTTTTGTTTTTTTTTTTGAGACAGAGTCTCACTCTGTCACCCAGCTTGGAGTGCAGTGGCGTGATCTCGGCTCACTGCAGCCTCCCCTCCCAGGTTTAAGCAATTCTCCTGCCTCAACCTCGTGAGTAGCTGGGACTACAAGAACCCACCCCACCACACCCGGCTGATTTTTGTATTTTTAGTAGAGACAGGGTTTCACCATGTTGGCCAGGCTGGTCTCAAATTCCTGACATCAGGTGATCCACCCGCCTTGGCCTCCCAAAGTGCTGGATTACAGGCGATGGCCACTGTGCTTGGCCTACAAAGTCTTTTTGTGAAATAGCTCCAGTTTGTCTCTCCTGACTTATATCATACTATTCACCCCCACTCTCAGGTTCCAGCTATGATGAATTTATGGGTTGTCCTAAACTGGCTGAACCTCCCTCTTCCACGGCTAGTTAATTCTTATTTTTGCCATTTAAATCATCTTGGGAACTTTCTCCTCTAGGATCCTCACTCAATTTGAGAGTAACTGACCTTCTTCATTCTCTTAATATCTTGTCCTTACTTCTATTGTAACATTCATAACATTGTATTGAGGGACCATAAGCTCCTTACTGAATTCTGTCTATATTTCCAGGATCTAGTATAGTTGTGGGTGTTTAGTAAATGCTAGTTGCTGTGAAGAGATCTCATGCTGCATGGCTATGAAAGGGAAAAGAGAAGATAGAATAGGCCAGACCGGGTGCGGTGGCTCATGCCCATAATCCCAGCACTTTGCAAGGCTGAGGCAGGAGGATATTGAGCCCAGGAGTTTGAGACCAGCCTGGGCAACATGGCGAAACCCCATCTCTACAAAAAATACAAACAATTAACCAGGCTTGCTGGCGTGTACCTGTAGTCAGGAGGCTAAGGTGGGGGAATCACCCGAGCTTGGGAAGTCACGGCTGCAGTGAGCTGTGGTCGTACCACTGCACTCCAGCTGGGGCATTGGGAGTGATTGCATTTAGTAGGAAAGCTGAGTCCACTGACATTGCTTTCATAATTATGGTGATTCTGTGCATGTTTGTTTGCTGAGGTAAAGGGAGCACAGTTGAGAGAAAGAGAGGTTGAAGATAAAAGAGAGGGGAGAGAAATAAGGTTTCTTGGAAAAAAGGAAAGGTTTTCACCAAGTTTTCTTTAAAATAATTTTTAGCTTTTAGAAGTCTACAAGGTATTTGTTCCATCAAGGGTGAGTTTAATGTCGCTCAACATAATATTCTGAATGAAGCATTTATGGTATACATTTATTTAATAGAATCTTCATCTTTTCCTGGTCCAGGAAGGAGATGGATAAAAAATACACTTAATAGAAGTTAAGAAATAAAAGTTTCCTAACAAAAATCTGGAGCTGTATCACAATCAATGCTATCAGAATGGCTGGTATGCTTTCAAAGTATACGCCCGGAATACGATGACATTTTAGAAAGGGCTTGACACTTAAGATAAATGTTACCTATATATTATAAATGTGTTTTATATAAGTACACTCACACACACAAATATATACAAGTACACACATACATACTAAGCAGTATGTGTGTGTATAAATTGTTGCTTTCATGATTATTGAATATGACATTCTGATTAATTAAATATTCTGGTTTTAATAGTTATTTTATTATACAACCTGAATTACGAATTAAAAATATAAAGCACAAGTTAGAAACAGCTTACATTAAAACTACACAGTATAAATGAGAAGGGAGTTTCAGGGCTTCAGTCATCACTGTGAAATTTTTTTTTTTTTTAGGCAGAGTCATGCTCTGTTGCCCAGGCTGGAGCAGTGGCGTAATCTTGGCTCACTGCAACCTCTGCCTCCAGGGTTCTAGTGATTCTCCTGCCTCAGCTTCCTGAGTAGCTGGGATTACAGGAACATGCCACCATGCCTGGCCAATTTTTCTTATATTTTTAGTAGAGATGGGGTTTTACCATGTTGTTAGGCTGGTCTCAAACTCCTGACCTTGAGTGATTCACCCAGCTTGGCCTCCCAAAGTGCTGGGATTACAGGCAACAGCCACCACACCTGCCTAATTTTTCTTGTATTTTTAGTAGAGACGGGGTTTCACCATGTTGTCCAGGCTGGTCTCGAACTCCCAACCCCAAGTTATCCGCCTGCCTCAGCCTCCCAAAGTGCTGGGATTACAGGCATGAGCCACTGCACCCGGCATAGTCATCACTGTGAACTTCCACAAACACTTATTGAGAGCCAGTTACTCTGTACAAAGTACTGTGCATAGAGCTGGGAGGGCACAGATGTTTAAAAAGCAGTTCCTGCCTTTAAGAAGGTATATTAGCAATTATAAGTTTCAATTAACAAAATGTGTGAATGATTATTAAACGTCAGTGTTATACGTATTGTACTTTGTTTTCTATTCTGATAAAGCTCACGTATGCTTTTAATTTCCTTTTAAATCTTAACTGATTTTCAAACCTATCAGTGTTTCATAAACAGCTTATAGTGCCCAGAGTGCCTTGCCCTTAGTAGCACTCATCATATTTTTGTTGAACTAAAATGAATGGTTTCTTCAGTTTTAACTCTTGCATGGTTGGCAACTGGCTGAATTGGAAAGTGAAAGACAGATTTAGAGGAGAGAATGTTCTGAGTGCTGCAGCTGCAAGAACCTCTTTAAAAAACATAAAGTCTACTACATAAATTATGTACTCTTTAAACTCTCATGTTCATTTACACAATTGATCACTGAAACGACTTTAGAAATATGTGCATCAAATATTTAGCATATTTTTAAAGCTTTCTTAATAACATCACTAATAAGTGGATGCAATTTTGTGTTTGTTTACAGCAAACACCTATAAATATCAGATAACCTAATTATAGTTTATCAACATTACCTCTGAATCATTTCAGTGGAAATGTCCTCTCTCACTGCATTCATATTGTTTCGGTGCATGAGCATGGAAAACAGCAGATTATTTTCCATGATCATAGGTTTTAAATATTTACTTGCTAGCGCTGCATAATTTAAAGCGCTAGAGTTGGAAAGCCGTTTGTATGATAGCTAATGCCATGTCAGTGTTGGAGAATATAGTTTCCTCCTGTGACTTCTGTGTGAAGTTGAGAAAAGGAAAGATACTCTGCTCCCTTTTTCTAACCAATTAAAATTTGTTGTGGTAAATCCATAGGAAACCCAAGTCTGTAGTATACACACAATTTACTTTTGTATACTTATATAGTTATTTTAAGAATCCAAGCATTGTTTCTGATGGCCGGTTAACCACAACACCAAAAATAAAATATATTCATTATTGCAACCCAGGTCTTTATGAAAGTTACAAAAAGGCGTCTAGATTCTCTCTCTCCTAAAAAAAAATCAGAACAGAGTTTGGGGATTTCAAAACATGAAACCACAGGCTGTGGAATCACATAAGAAAGCTGCTTTGTTTGCTCACTCTAATAGGTGTGCCATTTGAGATCTTATACCCCTTGTTTTGTTATTTGGCTGTCCACGTGCATGAATAAAAATAAATAGATCCAGCTACCTGTTTTTGTGAGAATAAAAAAAAAATTTAAACCACCAAACACATTACTAAACTGAAAAAACTGCAAGTTTAATTTTGAACTTTTAAACTCTTCAATCTTGAAGGTTTTCATTCCCATGTGGTTTCATAGTCCGGTAGTATAGACTGTTCATATTTTACTTCTAGTTTTCAGTATAATTTTCTATGTAATTCAGAAACATGTCTGGTAGTCCTTGCTCCAAGATCTGCGGTACTGTAAAACTGCATGAGATTACATTTTGTAGTAACTTAGTATTTCTCTCGACATCATTTAGGAGTGAAGATACACATTTCCACTTGATTTATTTTTATTTTATTCTTTTTTCTTTTTTGGATGGGGTCTCGCTCTCTCCCTCAGGCTGGAGTGCAGTGGCACAATCTTGGCTCACTTAAGCCTCCGCCTCCCGGGTTCAAGGGATTCTCCTGCCTCAGTCTTCTGAGTAGTTGAGACTACGGGCACGTGCCACTATGCCCAGCTAATTTTTTGTGTTTTTAGTAAAGACCAGGTTTCACCATGTTGGCCTGGCTGGTCTTAACTCCTGTGCTCAAGTGACCCGCTCGCCTCGGCCTCTTAAAGTGCTGGGATTACAGGTCTGAACCACTGCGCCTGGCCAAAAATTTCCACCTTATAAAAAGCATCTTTAGACCTTAGACCGTCCTTTTTTTTTTTTTTTTTTTTGACGAACCCTCCCTCTGTTGTCCAGGCTGAAAGTACAGTGGTGCGATGTCGCTCACTGCAACTTTCGCCTGCCGGGTTCAAGAGAGTCTCCTGCCTCAGCCTCTTGAGTAGCTGGAATTACAGGCGCCCGCCGCCAAGTCCGGGTAACTTTTGTACTTTTTTAATAGAGACGGGCTTTCACCATGTTGGCCAGGTTGGTCTCGAACTCCTGACCTCGAGCGATCCACCCGCCTGGGTCTCCCAAAGTGCTGGGATTATAGACGCGACCCATTGTGCTCGGCTGTCCTGTAATAATAGCTTCAAAATAATCTGAATATGGAAAATAAGTGCACCTATCCCTTGATGTTTTATAAGTAACCTAAAGTCCTAACTATGGTCTAGCTTAGAGCTCCTTCACAACAGGGTAAGAAGGCATTCTGGCTTTTTATTTTTTTTAAATCAAAGTGGGGCTTAGAGTCTATCTTGCTCCGGGGTGCGAGGAAGAAGGGCGCAATGCATGCTGGTTCTTGCAGTTCCTGCGCCAGGGGCAAGGGCTGCATGGCCTGCTGGTAGTTGAAGTCCAAATGCTCAACAGGAATTTATGGCAGCCGAAATGTAGTTTGTCTATCTGAGAAGACAATGCTCACGGATGAAAACTTTCTCTTGGTTTTGCGCTTGCTCGATTGGCGGATTAGCGCGATGGAGGCGCGGACAGGTGGGAAAAAGTGACGGATAAAGTAAACGTGGTAGAGGCCGCTACGCCGCCGCTATCGCTGCTGCCTATCGCAAGGCCTTCGTATCCCGGAAGTGGCTGATCCTATGGATTTGAAGGGGAGGTGGTTCCTCTTACTACGGTGGCCGGGATGCTCAAAGTACCTGTAGCTGCAGCGCCGAGGTTGGAGCGTCTGCGTGTGTGCGGGCTGCTTTTGTGGTGGCTGCTGCTAGAGCTGGAGCACTTCCCGGGTTGGTGGCTCCTGCACATTTTTACAGTTCTCCAGTCCTTCTGTTTCGGTGAGGGATCGGCTTGCGGCTAGGAGAGTCGAGAAGGTTGGGACTTAGTGCCTTTGGTCCCCGAATGACCAGGTTTCTTGGGGTCCGCCTTCAGTGAAGATCCTGTGGCCAACCAGCTGGGTTCTCTGAGGGTTTTGGCGCCTCCCTTGTCTCTCCTTTCTAGTGTCATTTGTCTTCTGACTCTTCCTCGCTCTGTCGTGGGTTCCAGAGATAAACCGTAAGCCTAACTGTGGGCAGCTAGTTCTCCTTTCCTCGTGGTTTTCTTAGATGTTCCAGGCAAGACCTTTTCCCCTGATCTATAGCATCCATTTGATCCTTCCTCATACCCCCCTGCTCTTTCTGTCGGCCTTGTTTCTCCTTGTTTAAAAAATAAGAAAAGGAGGAAAAAAAACCTGGATCCCCACGATCTCTCTGTTCCCATTCCTAGCCTCTTTCTCCCTTTTTGGTGTTTGTTACTGTTTCAAGCCATAACACACTACCTTGCATATATTAATGCCTTTCCATCTAAATATTAATGTTCATTCACTTGATTCGGTTCCCGCTCACTTTGAGCCCTCCCAACACCACCCGCATCTAAGGGCTTTTGAAGTTGGAGGTGTAGAATAAATTATTTCATATGGTGACTATATTTATATATAAGAACCTTCAGCGGTCAACTCAGCCTGACTCTGTTTATTGAGTTTATATTTCTTATCATTTCCTTGGCTTACCTTTTCTTTGTATTGATTATTTTCCCGCATGTGGCTCACTGCTACCCTATAGTTCGAAAATACCTCGTTTTACATCTTTTTATATCCGAATTACTTAGGAGTTTTCTTCTGTTTTCCTGCTTGGACCGTATGTCCCCGGTGGGTTTTTGGCAATGATTTTGTGTCAGTTGATGGCAGAAAGAGACAAGGTAATGATCTTTCCTTCTTGTTTGCTTGTGACTTGTAATTAGATTATAAGTCATTGAAAGTACCTAGAGGGATTGGAAAGGCTTTGAAAGGTGAAGTCTATGTATTTTGTGAGTTTCAAATTGATAAAGCTTCTTCTCTGTACAGAGAAGAGTTTCCAATTAGTCCAATAATCTGAGACTATATTGAATTATCAGTTAATTCGCTGTAAAATTTTTAGAATCGCATGTCAAAAAGTGGCCAATCTAAGGAATTGTGTAATTTAGTAAAAAGACACTAAAAGCCATTTAATTAATGCTCTTTTTCTTTATAATAGGATGCAAGTATTTGGAAAAATGTATTTATGGTCATTGGTTATGAAGTATTTCTAGATATTTTGATAGTTCTGGTGAACAGCATTGTATTCTGTTCACTAATGTTTTATAAAAAGGCAGAAATTGTCTGACTTTCTGGGGAACCGCGTAACTCAAATGAGTTTGCAGCTTTTCTCTTCTGATTATTGCACTAAAGAGGTTCTTATACTGAGATTATTATTCTTTTTTAAGCAATCAAATATGCTCTACATATGTCAATAAAGTATAAATATTAATATTGGTACAATGTTAAATTGGGATTATTCCTAATTAATGCACAAAATGCTGAAATGGTTTCAGCCATGCTTAAGATTTGGGGCTAAATATATTTCAGAATAAATTTACTCATAATTTTTTATTGAAAAAATGATAAGCTAGACATTACTCAATCTTTTAATATTTTTCCTGCAATTTTGTTCAGTTAGTAGGCACTTAGTGACTACTTCTTACTATTTAATTATTGTCCCTAAATCACCAAAACCTTTATTGTAAGAGTATCCTTTAAAAAAAAAAGAGTATCCTCTTGTGCTCAGCTCTGCATAGAGGCTTTTAAAGCATTAGCTCAGTCATACCAACTAAGTAAACTATTGAGTATTATTTACATTTAGCATATAAAATACTGAAGCTTGAAGAATTTAAGGAATTTAGTTCTTTTTGACTCTTCCTACCATACAACAGCTGCAAGGATTTGTGCACTATCCTGGAATATATAAAGAGCGTTAAATCAATACATGCTTACTGAGCAGACACCATTCTAGTTGCTGGGGATATAGCCATGAACAAGAAACAGAAATCCCCGCTCTTAGGGAGCTTATACTCTGGCAGAATGTATGAGATGTAGACTTTGCCTTCAAGAAGCAGAAAATATAGTCAATATATATTCGATTTTATGTGAGTGATGTAGAATGTTAAAAGGTGAGAAAAGAGATAACTAGGGAATGTTTCATGAAGAAGATGAGATTTAATCTGGACTTTAAATAGCGGTTAGGGATTGGTAAGTAGAAATTAGGACCCTGTCTCAAAAAAACAAAAAAATAAAAATCTGTGATGTAGAATAATTGATGAGCCTTATAAAGCACTTTATGGCCAGGCGTGGTGGCTCACACCTGTAATCCAAGCACTTTGGAGGCCAAGGCGGGTGGACCACCTGAGGTCGGGAGTTCAAGACCAGCCTGACCAACTTGGTGAAACCCCGTCTTAAAAAAAAATAAATAAATAAATAAAGCACTTTACTTTTATTTTTCGGACTATTTATGAATTGTAATCTTTGACATACATTCAGTCATTTAGCATTTATTTATTAACTAGGCACTCTTATAGGCCACAGTGGTATAGTAGTGAATAAATATGGTCTTTATCCTCATAGAATTTATTGTCTAACAGAGGAGGCAGACAGGAATTAAATAGTCAAAGAAATTTAAAGTTACAACTATGGTAAATGCTGTTAAAAAAGGACTTGATGTTACACAGTGGATGAACTGATGACAGAGGGGATAAGAGTGGGAATGGGGAGAGACCAGTTAGGAGATTGTTGGAGTAGCCCAGTTGAGAGATGATCTTTTGGACAAGGTGGTAATGGTAAGAGAGAGAAGTGGATGGATTCCAGAGGTGTTCAGGAGGTGGAACTAGGTGATGGATTAGATACGGAAGGTGAGGGAGAAGAAGATATCATTGGCTAATCATAGGCTTTTGGCTTTTGTAACTGGAAAGATTGTTGCACCATTCACAGAGGACCAGGTTTGGGAAACATGCTTTATTAGTATTTTTTATTGTTGTAGCAGTGTTTAAGGTTAATTTCTTAGTTATTTTTTACCCTTTTGTGTCATTGTTTCAGTTTTGTATATTTGAGTAATAACCATGCCTGAAATATGTTTTTTTGGTATCAATTTTTTCTTGATTGAGCAGGGGTAGAGTTCTAAATGAAAGCGTCTGGAAATATGTTGGTCTCTATTTTGAATCTACCTGTAATATATTAAACCATATATATGAATAGGTAACTGAATAATGCAGTTATATATCATCTTTATTTTCACTTGAGATTTGGCAGTAAACTCGCGTGTGGTTAAATTCTAACTTCATTTGGTACATACATAAATGTGCATTAGCGAAAAAATACATGCTTTTGATTTTTCTTTGAAATGCTTCATTCATGTAATTTTTGATATATATTGGACTGAAACAGTAGTGACTTATAGTTTATTTAAATATTACATTTCATAGTAAAGTGGTAGAGTGTAGAGTATAGAGCAAAGAGACTTTGGTGTTAGACTGCCTGGATTCACGGTCTCTATTTGCTATATACTAGCAGTATGACCTTAAAGAAGTTATGTACCTTTTCCGAGACATTTTTTTTTTTATATGTAAGATGAGGATAATAATAGTACCAGCCTTATAGAATTGTGGAAATTAAATGAGATAATATATGTACATAGGTTAATAAAATTATCAGTACAGATTTTAAATGTTTATTATCATTATTATTATAGTGATACTGGGTTCAAGATCATCTTGACTCTTGTGACACCATTTTAATTTTAGGATACCTTGTAACTAATAAAACTCGATTTGAGAAAAAAATTTGTTTGGTATTTAGATTTGGAGAAAATATATAAAATAGTTTTGCTTATTCACTATTGTCCCAGATAAACCAGCACATATCATCTTTCACAGAATTCTTATGAGATTATGTGTAGTTTATAGCCATGATAGAAAACTTACGGCAATTAGTTTGTGACTACTTATTGTTTGTTAGGGTTATTACCTTTATTTTTAACCAAACCTTTTTGAACTTTTTACTCACTTTTAACTCTCATGAATAGGGTGAAGAGTAGTTATGATCAAGCCTGATCAGCTGCTCTAAAGTCAACCTAATTTCTACCTTTTTTCCTCATTTTTTCTTTTTACTTTCAGCCTATAAAAACATTGAAGTGGTAGTACAACAAATACCTGTATATCCTTTGCCTAGATTCACTAGTTGTTAACATACCTCTTTTGCTCTCATTCCTTGCTGTTAGACAAGTGCTCTTTCTATATAAATACACACACACACACACACACACACACACACACTTTCTTGCTCAGCTATTTGAAAGTAAGGTGGAAACATCATGAGACTTTACCCTCAAATAATTCATCATGCATCTCCTAAGAACTAGCACATTCTCTTACATAACTATAATGCCGTTAGCATATCCAAATAATTTAACCTTGATATGATAATACTGTCTAATGTACAGTCCATATTCAACAATTAGATTTTCCCAAATATCCCAGTAATGTCATTATAGCATTAAAAAAATACTGAATCCAATCAAAGACATCAATTATATTTAGTACTTAAATGTCTGTTTTATTTAGAACAGTCTTTACCTTTTCTTTTTTTTTGTCTTCAGGTAGAATGCCTCACAAAACTATGTGATTTTTTTTCCTCACAATTAGTTTCAGATGGAAGAGTTGTGGGTTGTTTTTTTTTTCTAT